ATGGTGGTGCACAACTTTAATCACAACACTCAGAGGCAGGTGGACCTCTGAGTTCAAGGCCAACTTGGCCTACATAGTAAGTTCCAGACCAGCTAGGGCTTCAGAGTGAGACCCTTTCTCAAAAAACATAGACAAAAACCACAGATTCGGTGCTGGTATCTGTAATCGCAGGACTCCTACTGTGAGATGGGAAGCTCCTACTGTGAGATGGGAAGCTCCTACTGTGAGATGGGAGGCTCCTACTGTGAGATGGGAGGCTCCTACTGTGAGATGGGAAGCTCCTACTGTGAGATGGGAAGCTCCTACTGTGAGATGGGAAGCTCACAGAAGGGGTGGGGTGAAGTACACAGGAGAGGAGAAGAAGAAAGGCCCTGCCTCAGCAAGGTCAAAGTCAAGACCCTACTCTCAAAAGGTCCTCAGACCTCCACGTGGGTGCTGTGGACACACATACTCAAAATAAATAGAAAAAAAAAGAGAAGCCAGTGTGCAGATTATATTTTACTTTAGATAAAATGTACAAAATATTTAAATTGATGTTTAAGAAAAAGGTATTTCTGGGCTGGAGAGATGGCTCAGTGGTTAAAAGCACTGGCTGCTCTTGCAGGGGACCTGGGTTTGATTCCCAGCACACATTTGTGGCTAACAACCATCTGTAAAACTCCAGTTCCGGAGGATCTGACGCCCTCTTCTGACCTCCACAGGCACTGCATGACACAGGTGCACCTACCTGCATGCAAGCAATACACTCATACACATAAAATTAAAATTATAAATAAATTTAAAAAAGAAGGTATTTGCACAGGTTATCTCAGGGTTATGTAATTATATAGAACTTTTATTTTCTTTTTGCTTCTAGTTGTAATTGTTCTGTAATGGAGATATAGTGCTATGAAAATAAAAACTCCAACAAAAGTTATTTAATAAAAATCAACGTTAAGACCCTATCAGTAAATACTGTTGGCCTTGGTGATGTCCCCCAAAAGCACAGGGTTGGGGAGATAACTCAGTGGTTGAGATCATGTACTGCTCTTGCAGAGGACCTGAGTTTGGTTCGCAGCACCCACATCAGGATCAGGGGATGCATTGCCTCTGGTCTCCAAGGGTACTTGCACTCACATGCACATACCCACATACAGGTGTTCACACATATAAATAGTTAATAAAATAAGTAAACAAATCTTTGAAAAATGTTCACTGAAAGCCACAAAAAAGTTTAGCTGTCTTGAAAAAGCATGACACACTTCTCTGAAAATGGAACTTGTAGGGCTTTAGGGCTGGACCACCAAAGGTGAAGGTGCCCGGGACTAGCTTTGCCCTCTAGAGAAGATGGCACACCTTTGAGCTTTCAGCAGAAAGGACAGCTATCAACAGGGAGAAATGAAGTAGCGCCTGTGTTGCCTAGGGCAACGGTTCCAGGTGGGTTGGGTCCTCTGCATGACAGACTCCAGTGGACATTTTCTATGCCTAAGCCACATAGTCAAGAGTGTAAGAGCAGCAAAGGACTCAAGTCCTACAATTTCACTTTATATTTACAGAAAGTGACGCCCACAGGGTGTGTTCAGCTGTTCCATCAGCTGCAGCTGTGGCTTGAAGTGAAATCAATGCCAATGTGTCCCATAACTAAAATGTCCATTTCTGGAATAGATTCGCTCTCTAGAATTTTAACTCTTAAGTCTTAGTAAGAGTTAACACTGAGACATGCATGGCTTAAAAAACTCCAAATCTCTCTTCTCCCCTTCCTCTAGTGAACAGGATAATCAAAGTCTAGGAGCAAGTGCTCCCGTGCCACAGAGCTGCATGGCACTACAGCACCGTGATCAGGTTGTGGGCAACTACCCCATACACCGAAGAAATATGAATCTCACAACTTACTGGCTGCAGTGGGGTTGGTAAATGGCTTTCACCCACTGTGTCAAGTGGACCGAGCTTGGATGTTAGTATTAATCCCAGGGCAGTGCCTGAACTGAGTGACAGAGAACATTATAAGCAGGATGTTTTGGCATCGGGGGAGCGCTTAATCGCGTGTACCACATATTTTCATTTTGGCCTAGACTGTTACCCTTAGAATAACATTAATTATTCCTTCAGAGTGGTACATGAATTCTTCCTCAATATTAGATTTCCTACATCATCTCTAATGTGTTCTAATTTCTTAGCAAGTCAATGCAAAACTGCCTCCTTGGTCTATTCAGTTCCCAGCACCCACATGGTGGCTACGAACCATTCTTAACTCCAGTTCTAGGGGAATCCAAAGCTCTCTTCTGACCTCCACGGCATTGCACAACATGGGTGCATTCACATACATGCAGGCAATACATTCATACACATTAAATAAAAATAATAAAATAAAAAATATAAAAAATTATTAAAAAATATGAAGGGCTTCCAACAATTTAACTGTAACGCAAAATTCTTGTGCATTAAGAATCATAAAATTATGAAGCTAACATATAACAGTTGGTCTATCTCTTAGAGCATGTGCTATGGTCTGAAGGCATGCCTAGAGGAGCCAGAGGTGGAATCTTGTCCAATTGGGAACAACTCGATCAAAAGACTAGAGTGAGTCGGTAGCCGGGGAAGCTGTAGACGGCAAGAGGGCATCTGCTTGCTGAGGTGAGGCCCTGGTAAAGATGGAGTGCGCACTCCAGCTGAGCCTTATCTTGATTGCCCGCCGTTTCACAGTTTAGCTGCTCATCACCAGCTCAGTCTGGGGTTGTACAGCTGTTTCTGGAACGATGACTGATGCATATCCTGCACATTTTATTTCAGGACTCATGGCATTTTTTTTTTTTTTTACCGTGCATGTCCATTTCTCCCCTTTTCCGCCTATCTGAATCACGTTCATCTTTCAGCATCCATTTCTCTAGCATCACAGAGGCTCTGGTCTGCTTCAGCCCAACTTCTCAAAGTCCTGACATTTGACATCATTGCCTAACCCTAATTTCTCTCTGCAGTTTCGCATAGATCTCCCTTAGTCTACAGTGCTGGGGTGATTTTGCCAAGGCTGTTACATTCAGAGACTTTATGAACACTGACTTGCTGTAGATTGGGATATTAAGGTGTCTTAACTGTTCAATTTAAATACCAGTCTAAGGTAACAAAGCATCGTAACCTAGCAGTGGAACGCAGCAGCAGAAAGCACAATAAATCCTTATTGCCCATGCCTGAAATGAGACAAAAATATTATCCCAGAATAAGAGAGAAAGAGGTAAAGCTATCACAGAAAAGTATGAGTAGATGAACTTTTCTAGCACATTGAATGATACCCGCGCAACCCAAAGGAGTTATATTTAAAGATTAATGATATATATATATTCCAGTAACTATATACCTTGCTAGTTACTGGACTATAATTAGCAGGATACTTTCTCATAATAATGAGTCTAAAGCAAAGACATTAACACTGCACATACTTAGTTTGGAATAATTATCATTTGTAAGCCAAAGAACTACAATTTGAAACTTGTATGACTCCTGGTCAGTGTGATATGGAAAAACACGAGGTTAAGCCTTTCATGTTATGGGAAACAGGGCTACTTGGTAACTCAAATTATAGGGCTACTTGGTAACTCAATCTGTGTCTTACCAAGACCAGAAATAGAGAAGTCAGGAGTGCCTTCCATATATAGATAAGCTATGAGGACTCCTCATTAATTGCAGTGATAATGGAAACTGAAGGTACTCTTTCTGTACTCTGATTCTAAACTCAATGAGGCCGTTGGCCATGCTGACAACTAATGTGACTGGTAACCCACTGATCTTTAATACTTTCTAGGTGGTGGGTGGAAGCACAGAGAAACTTTAAACTCTGAGCCAAGGGAGTGGTTCTAGCCACTATTATCAACTGTACCAAGCTCTTTATTAGAGTCATTGTGAAGAATTCCTCCATTTATAGGCTTTAAAAAAGTGGGTAAGGGGCTGGAGAGATGGCTCAGCGATTAAGAGCACTGGCTGTTCTTGTAAAAGACCTAGGTTCAAATCCCAGCACCCATATGGCAGCTAACAACCATCTATAACTCTAATGCCAGGGTTTCCGACACCATCTTCTGACCTCACAGGCATTGCAGACACGGGTGTACTCACATACATGCAGGCAATACACTCATACACATAAAATTAAAATAAACTTAAAAAAATTAAACAGTAGTTAAAAACTTTGGTTTTTCTTTCTAACTAGTAAAATCCTAGGTCTACAGAACAGTCAGGAGGAAGGAGTAGAGATGTGTTCCGTTCGCATTCCTGCACAGCCCTTCTTCCCATGCCTCAGGAAGAAAAAAGGAAGTCCTTTCCTTGACCTTGATTGTCTCCAGTAGCCACATATGAAGATTCCTGACATTACCATGAGTCCAGAGTGAAGGGCCCTGACCTTAGACGCTCTACAAAAGTCCCTGGTACTAGAGGGTACCAGTCATGTAGGCAATAGTTTGGTAAAGGTCCCCAATGCTTGATGACAAAGTTTTTCTTGGAAAATCTGTCTGGGCTGGCTTTCGGCTCTGCTTACAGAGAGCTGGCCCAGACAGAATTGCTGGCTTCTGGGTGCTAACACTGTAGTTTGTCCTTGAAAGCTGATTAGAGCTCTGTTTTGGAGCCCTAGTTCAGTCTGTGGGTTCCTGAATCCAAGCATAGTGAAGGAGGCTGGAGAGTTCCTGGGGAAAATCGTTATACACTGGGAGGAGACACAGAAGTGGTTCCTCACTGCTGCCCCTTTGTCAGAGTTCAGTGAGTCCCCTGAAGGAGAGGGTCTGGGCCGTGGCATCAGCCCAAGAGGGGCCATATTGGAATCCAGACAAACTAGAGAGTCCAGACTGAGAACAGCACTCACCTCATGTGGAAAAAGTCAGCCAAGTTTCCACTGGTGAGTCTGGATTCTGTAGGCAATTAAGTGATTTCCTGTTGGCCACCCCCCACTGTTGCCTCCCTCCCACCTGCAAGCAGTCACCCATCCATAAATCCTGTCCAGCTCTGGATTTTTGCCCAATGTTTCAGAGGGTTGGACTCACCAAGGAGAGCGGAATTCCCAGGATCCAGGACCAGCTGTGTTCCCAGAGGAGACATTAGCACTGAAGGAAGGTTCGGTCCAGTGGCTGAGAGCAAGGCCCTGATGTCTTCCAACTGTGTGGGGACTTGGGGGGGATCTGTGAGAAGACAGATGGTGAATCAGGAGGTTAGAGCATATAGGCTATGTTAAGGGGGAAAGAGGTGATAGGCATGACAGGAGTTACTACTACTGACTCTTAACCTCATTTTTCCTATAAAGAAGGTATACCTACGAAGGTAAGCCTGAATTTCAAACTTAATATTTGATGCCTGGAATAATAAGGTCTGTAATAAGAACCAGACCTGTGAGTTTCAGGAGTTCTTACTTTATACCACTTTGAAGCATACCACCATTGGGTCTTTATAATATTGTAGATAAACTGAACCATGTTATAAGGCAGTTTTGTTTTAAAAGGAAAACTTTACCATTTACTATATGCCATGTATGAGATTGTCTTTATCCCATTTTCCACTAAACTCATAACATCCTTTAGAGGCAATTTGTAATTGTCCCCACAGATAGAATACTCTCCCAAAATTTCTTATTTAAAAGAATTTTTATGAGTGTTTCTTTTTTTGTGAAAGACAATATAGTTGTGAGGTTAATTTACTTTGAGGTCTGATTTTTACGCTCAAAAAAGACTCAGACGAAGTGTAGGAAGACATTACTATGGGATAGCAGTCAAAATCATACAAGGAGTCAGGGCTGGAGTCACGGGAGGTGAAGGCAACCAGTAATAATAAAAAGTAAGAGATGAGAAATACAGTTGCTCATTTTCATTGGAGACAAGCACCCACTGCACCTACTGGTGGAATGATCTAGAGTCTCCAGGAAAAGCAGCAGGATCCCTTTGTTCTTCTTCTGTGTCTGCTGAAGCACAGCTGCGGCCACTTCCAGGGCCACTGCCACTCTTCTCTGGGCCTCGTTGGAGTGGGTGCAAAGCAGGAATACTGCTCTTATAACTGAGCCATTTGTGCTAGGCATTATCAGGCACTTGTTAGGAATGGTAAAGGAGTAAGTACTGATGAGGCCTATTCTACTCCGGACACACAACTTTACCCTTCCTGCCTTTGACTGCAAAAACCATCAGAGAGCCAACAATGGTGAACTTGAAGTGATACATCTATGTCAGAAATAGCCAAATAAAACTCTTTTCATACGGTATCGGGAAAACACTGTGCTTGGATTCAGGAATCCACAATTTGAACTCTGGCCCCGCCATTCACTAACATGGGCAAGTACTTAGCCTACTGAGCTGGAGCTTTCTCATCTGTGAGGATCTGTTATTCTTCTGCCTTTAGGAACTGACAATGAAGTTTATTCAAAGTGTCTTTCTACCCTCCTTTATGTGCTTATTAAAAGCAAAAAGGGGAGGCTAGTCTCATATGTGAAACAATTTAGCAATCTTATCTCCTTGGGTAAAATGTCAACCGTTGCTAATGTCACTACAGTTTCCATGACAATTCCTTTTTTATTTTTGCGCATGTGCATTTGATCTTCCCAGTGGAACTGTGAATTCTGGAGGGGCAGATGCCACCTCATATTTTTCCTAAAACTTGACCAGTGTCTACTCAACTTGGGCTTAGAGGTAACACAACAAATATGGGTTCGATGACTACATCAGTGAATGAAGGAAAGTCTGTATCATTTCATGCTGAGCATTCATATAAGTCATAGGACTCAGCATGAAATTTCAGTTTTATGTACAAAATTTCCCTTTTAAAAATTAAGCCATATTATTGCTGATGAAAAAAGAATGTTATTTCCACTTTCATGTTGGGTCAGAAACCAAGACTTCTAATAAAGAAAATCCTTGGGGCTGGAGAGATGGCTCAGCAGGTAAGAGCACTGACTGCTCTTGCAGAGGACCCAGGTTCAAGTCCCAGAACTCATATGGTGGTTGACAACCATCTGTAACTCAAGTTCCAGGGGATCCAATACTTTCTTCTGACTTCCATAGGCATTGCATGACAAGGGTGCACTTAAAACACATGCAGGCAATATAATTACACACATAAAATTAAAATAATAACTAATTTTCAAAAAAGAAAAGCCCTTAAAGGTAAGCATCCTTACAGTGATTTTTGGGAAAAGGTTTCATGCTCTTTGAACACCATGTTCATGATCATACTGTATTAGAGTTGGAAAATAATAAGAATTAGCCCAGAGAACATACTTCATTGGTGATGCCCCAATAGCAGTCATCTTAGACATTCATCTCTGTTAGCAGAGACAACAAGGAAGGGTCATTAGGGAGAAATCCCCACCAATGAGTACTGGAACTTAGTACGACCCCAGACTCAGCTGATGAAACCCAATGCAAAACATCCTTTTTCTGAGTCAATTTTCTGTGGCTTCCTAAGATGGCTGGAGGTTTATGTAACCACCAGTGTGATGAAACCCCAGTGGGCCTCTGAAGTCTGAGTGAGCAGGGCTATACCATCAACTGCGGGTATGAAAAGTGAAGCATAAATTTAATTATTTTTCCCTTGAGGAAGTCCATAATGTATATTTATATATGTATGTGTGGCATGTAATTATTATTTCTTTTCCCACCCTTAAAATGACAGCTTTCTCTTTGTGAGAAAATTAGTGTAGGTGTTCTAGTGATTACTTTGCCTACTTATTTATTATTTATTTTGAGACATGGTCTCCGTTAAGCTCCAGCTGACCTGGAACTAGAAAGATGGGTCTGGCCTTGATTTCACAGAGGTCTGTCTGCTTCTGCCTCCCCAGTGAGTGCTGGGATTAAAGGCATGTGCTATCATACCCAGCAAGCGCTTGTTTTAAAAGGTACATCCAGAAACTTTGTTTTACTGTATCTCACCCACCCATAGCCAGACTCAGCAGGAAGGAAAGCAGAAGATGGGCAGAAAGGGCTGTGGCTTGCGAGATGGTCAAGTCCTGTCCTGGGTGATACCAGCTGGCAGACAGTGGCCCAGTAGCTTTCTTATCTGTAAATGCTGATTTTATGTCAGTGCCTATGGTAGACTTTTTAGTGAAGAATTATTATGGTTGGAACATGCACGTGGAAATTTTATGTAAACTAAAAACTTCCTAGAATTAGATGAAAAAACTTTAAACAGGATTTTTTCTGGAGAGGGTAAGCCATGGTTTTCATTGACTTCTCAAAGAAAACCCTCGCAGGGAGTTAGTAGTAGCTTCACTTCTGCTCCCTCTACTTGACATCTGTACTACTCCCTGCACTGGACAGTCCTTGATTGGCACCTTGACTGTCTCTCATAGACACCATAGTGTCTACGATGCAGCAAGATACATAACTTGTCTAAGGCCATAAGTGAGCAAGGGGTGTATCCAGGGTTTACGCTCAGCTTTGCTGGCCCCAGACTCTGTTGGAAGGGCTGAAGATGGGGAGAACCGAATGAAGGGGCTGCATCTCCCTTGTGTTTTCTTTTCTTTATATTTATTTATTATTTTTACTTTATGTATATGAGTGATTTGCCTGCATGTATTTAAGTGCACCTATGTCACACAATGCCCATGGAAGCCAGAAGAGGGCGATGAATCCCCTGAAACTGGGGGTGTGGATGGCTGTTAGTCGCCATGTGGGTGCTGGGAACCAAACCCGGGTCCTCAGCAAGAGCAGCCAGTGTTCCTAACCATTTAGCTCCTCTTTTATGTTCTTAATCAGGGAAAAAGAAGGTCCAAGGGGTGTGGTTGGTTCCTCCCTGTCATCCTACCGAGGCCATGGCTTTAAGGAGTTTTTACCTAGGATCAGGAGCTGGGTGTTCTCTGTCAGCATTCCATGAAGATTGGTTGCCCTGCAGGAGTATAGGCCTTGATCGGAGAAGGACACGTTTGTGAGCAGCAATGAGGCCTCGTGCAGATGGTGGGAGGAACCCAGTTTGCTTTTATTCCTGAACCAAGTGACTTCCACTTCAGGCACACCTAGGAAGACAAAAATAAACTTATCAGACAAACATTCAGGTGAACCCAGAACATTTACAGCCTCTTGGCCAGCCCTCCCTGGGACTACTCTGCAGGAAACATCTGCTTGGGCGTCTTCTGCCATCCTTCAGCCAAACCAAATAATGTCTTGGACTTCTCAGTTGTCTCTAGATTCTTTTGAGATTTTCAAAGAGGAGGCAGGGAGAAGGAGGCCAGTTAAAAGAAGGAAGCAGTCACAGCTGGTAAAGGACACTTGCCAAGTTAGAAGAAGAATATTCAAATTCTTTGGAGACAACATGGATATATATATATCCATGAAATTGAAAGACCTATAACTAAACAAGAGAAACAATGTTGAATGAGAAAAGCAAGATTGAATATATACTGTCTGATTTCATCTCTGTAAGAGAAAATAAAAATTAGCAGGACTGGGCTGGAGAGATGGCTCAGGGGTTAAGAGCACTGGCTATTCTTGCAGAGGACTTGGGTTGGGTTCCCAGCACCCACACAGCAACTGTCAGCAATTCCAGTTCTAGGGGAATCAGATGCCCTCTTCTGGCCTCCATGGATACTGTATGACATAGGTGCACTTACATACAAGCAGGGAAAAGACTCATACAGATAAAATAAAAATAATAAATATCTTAAAAATTAGTTGCATTAATTTATGTTGTTAGTAGCCAGGAAAGTGGTTTCTCTGAGGAGGCAGAATGAATTCAGAGTTTTTGTGATAGAGGAGCCAAGGGACTCGGTCTCTGTCAATGCTGGGTTTTGATCTGGAAATGGTTGGGTGTGGGGATGTTCAGATGGCACTCTTTCGATAAGTGCTCTTTTCTGTATAGATATTATATTTCAACACAACGGTAAATGCTATAAACATCAAAATATACATTTGACCTAGATAAATGAAAGTTGCTAGATCCTTACTAGAGTTGACACTATGTAGGAAACATGATTATATTTTCAGAAGCTGCAACGATTTGGATTTTAAAAAATTATGTTTTGTGTGTGTGTGTGTGTCTCCACATGGGATGTCTGCCGTTGGAGGCCAGAGGCATCAGATCCTCTGGAGCTGTAGTTACAGGCTGCTGTGAGCTGCCTGACCTGGGTGCTGGGAACTGAACTCATGTCTTTTGAAAAGAGTAGTATGTGCTCTTAACCACTCAGCAATCTCTTTAGCATTATGGTTGATATTTTGAGTATCTCCCCCAGTCCCAAGGGTCCCCAGGCTTGGTTCTGATGTTGGCAGTTTTGGAAGTTTGTAGAATCTCTAAGAAGGGGGCACAGTAGGTGGTCGTTGGGGGCACAGTCTTGAAGGGGATTGTGAGACCCCCGCCCCAGGTTCCTCTTTACACTTTTGCTGGCCATGAAGTAAATGACTTTATTGTTCCACATCTTCATCCTATGATCTGTTATTTCATTGTATTTTCTAGGTCAATTAATCATGGACTGAAACCTTATAAACTTTCTATGAGTTGATTTTCTGGAGTGTTTTGCTACAATGACAAAAGTGTGATTAAGACAGAAGTGTATCTTTTCAAAACAAGGGACTTCAAAGTGGTAGCATGAGTAGCCTTTGAGAAAATGGACCAAAGCTGAGTATTCTGCCCTCCCACAATCCATTTTTATTTTGTTTTGTCTGTGAGAGAATCAGGGAGACTGACATAGGGTGGGTACGGTAGAAGTCAGTCTCTGTGCTTTCGGGACAACCTAGACCCCTGAGGAAGTTTCTTTATTTTTGGTGCGCTGGTAGGCAGAGTCTGAGGAAAGAGTTTTCACAGAGTCTCCAACAGAGGCCAGGCTTTGAGGGAAGTGGGAGACTGAAATTTTGGGCTGCTGACTTACAGGTTTTCAGGCAGCAAAAAACTTCATCTTTTGTACCACCCAGCCTGCTCCCCGGCCCATAGAACTCTTCAGCAGGCATGCAAGTAATGTTTAGAATGTCAAATACTAGAAAATGGGGTCAATGCCAAGAAAAGCCAAAGACCCAGATTTTTAGTCAAGTGGTTTCCCAGATCTGGGCCTGGATTTTGCCCTTGGGATAAGGTAGTGTTGTCTTGAATGGACAGCTTACTGTTGGGGGGTACTACAATCTTTAAGGAGTTACTGGTGCATGAGTTATTTGCCCTTGAAATTGCCTAGGGAGAGCAGGGTTAACGAAAGGAAGTAGAGATGTGGATACTGCAGCCTTGCCAGGGAGAGGCATGCATCGATTCAGCTCAAATGGTAGGAGACTTGATGCTTGACTGCATGAGAGGGAGGCTGTCAGCATCTCTAAACACACCTTGAGAAAAGATGCAGGTGAGGCAAGTTGAGTTTTCATTCTGGTGTCACTAGGGAGCAAGAGCACTGGGACATCTACCCAGGCCAGCTTGGACATGGACCCCAAGCTCAGATTTCTACATTAAAAAAATTCCACAGTATTAATTGGAAAGCCTCTGAAAAATAAGTTGAAGATTAAAGCCTCCCATTCATTTCTCTCCCAGAAGCACTGGGAAAAATAAGGTCTTATAAACTATTTCTACAGGGGTTTATCCCCTCTTCAGTGAACCTCTCCCACAGCCCATGCAGTACTGGCATCTTCCTTTGGTCCTTGGTGGGACCTATGGGCTGTTGTAGAGAAACACAGAGTAAGAAAACTGGATGAAATGGGCCTTTAGTTCTATGCAGAGGGTGCTGCCTAGGTGAACAGGGGGTCAGTGAGCACGCTCCATGACTGTGCTCAGATGGCACCTAGAACAGGTGTTTCCAGAGGCAACACTTGTGGGTCTATCTGTGTGAATACTGGCATTCATGTAGCACGATGCCCTGCAGTTCAGCTAGATGCCAAGAGATGCAGAGGAGATACAAAATGGAGTGACAGAGGGAGGAGGGAAAGGAGGAGAAGACAGAGAAGTCAATGGTAGAGAGGGATCCGTGAGTTACCTCCCACTTCTTCAGGAACTGATAACCTTTTCTGTTCCTGTATTATTGTGGGTCTTTGAGAGATCAAGACTGAGTGTACTCAATGTCTGAATATCTCTGGTGAGAGCAGAGACTTTATGGGAGAAATGGAAATGTTCCGGATAGTGGCAGATAGACAGAAGCCACTTGTAGTCTGCAACCACAAAAATAACAGCACTCCAAAGGAGAAGAAAATTACACGGAGCCATGCTCTGGTATGTTTATTGGCAAATCTTTCTTAGGCCCACTCTAGCAGAGGCCTGCATTGTCGGAATGCCATATTTGGGGAATTCTCAGTTGGGACTATGGGTGTTAGGCAGAGAATGACACTATGAAGATATCTGGAATGATAGGCAGGCCTTCCATAACTGGTTCTGACATTACAGACATAGGATCTGGAAAGATTTCAGATACACTTGCCTAATCCAGATGTTCAGAGAACCTTGACATCAGAAGTGTAATAAATGGGCCAGGCAAAAAACAGCCCAACACATTCAAGGGAGAAATAATACTCAATAGTCATTTGCTACAAGCTGAACATTACAGAGATGTAAACGTTTATTTAACATAATGACCTCGTACTATTAGCAACTCCTTTATATAGAAGACAAAAAAAAAAAAAAAAACAGAGCTCAAAGAGATTAAGAAATCTGGGGTTGAGTGGCTCAGTGGGTAAAGTACTTGCTCAGTCTGAGACTGGAGTTTGGAACCCAGCACCCACATAAATGATGGGGTACATTTGGAAACCTGCCTGTAACCCCAGAGTTAAGGATCTTCAGCACAAGCTGGCCACCTCAACTAGCCAAACTGACAAGCTCCAAGTTCAGAAGAGATCCTTCAGTACATAGGCAGAGAGTGATTGAGGAAGACACCCAACATCAACTTTTAGCTTCCAAATGCATGTGCACATATGTGCACATGTACCTGCACACATGCCTGAGCCCATGTACATGCAAACTTGTATTTACATACATGCATATCACGCACATACACACACACCCCCCCCCCAGTAGAAGAAGAACTATACCTATTATCACGTTAGTTTGGGTTCCTGAATGGTGGGAGCAGAGTCCTTGGTCCCTGTTGCTTCTCATCCCTCAGCCAGTCAGTAATCCACCAATGGCAGGGTGGAGTACTAGCTGGAGACTTCTTCCAGGCCGAGAATCCCCATCTCAACAAGTACACCCGCAGCCCCTGGCTATACCACTATATTCAGGGAAATCTGAAGTCATTTCTAAACTGTCAGATCCTTTCTCCTGCCATTGTAACACCTAGACTGTTGTCAAGAGGGAGGCTTCTAGAATCTACTGGTGCTGGTCTACTAGTTTCCTGTTACTGGGATGTTCAGTCAGGTTGTGGAGATTTTTCCTTCATCTATTATAACATGCCAGCACATTCTACAGAGAGAACCATCTGAGAAATGACAGAAAATGGTCTACCACAGAATGAAGTCTGGAACTTAGCTATGAACCAGGCACCACACTGGATTCCTGGTTATTATTTCTGTCTAAAAAGGGAAAGCAAACTAGCCTGTGTCTTCTTTATCCTCCTGTGGAGTATCTTACCAACGACACAATGTTCTCCCTGTTGCTTGGAAGGATCAATAAATGGGTCTAGTCAGAATGGCTTGTAATAAGATCTGATTATAAGGATTAGTGCCTTTAATCTCCACTGTGCTGCCAGGAAGTGTGATGCTATAATATCCCTTTTCCCTGTTAAATAGGCCAGACAGGATATTCTTGCTAACTGGACGATTTGTTATGTTTGGAAGGCTACTCGCACCATGGCAGCTTGTCAGCATCTTGAGGTTGGGCATCAAAAGGTGTATTTTTACATGGTAAGTTCTTGAACCTTCATAGGGTATGTATCTATGAGGGGGTGGTTTGATGTAAGAAAGGAGAACGGATACAGTGACTCAAATGTCAGCGTTGGCAACTGTTCTGAGGACAAGAGGCTTTAGCCTCCTTGCCACCTTTCTCCATCTGGCAGTCAGTCAAAGAAATGTGTTTTCTTCTTTTCCCCCCGAGTACCCAGGGAGGATATTTCCAGCATCCCTG